GTGTAGAGGAATAAAGAAAGCTGGAGAATTGCATACTAATCCGACCCGTGCCGCCAATCTCCTTGCATAAACACGATCAATCGATCAATCATCGCCTTTAATTGAGGCTGACTAAGGTAATCTCTTGCATAAACTACACTACTTACACCAAAAGTGACCTCATCCGATTTCAAGGACGTTTTAGAACAACATAAAACGTATACGTTTAAGTTAATTGTGTCACCATGCAAACCTAATTCGTGTTTGACAAATTCGCTAACATATCTGTCTGTTAAGCACGCATCTAGTAAAGCATTGAACTTTAGCCGCCGGTTGTTTTTTTTTTAATATAAACACAGATACAATGTGCATAGCCAAACTGTCATTCTTAAACTAAGTATGAGTTCGTGCTGGCTACGACTCTGATGCGGGATATCATATTTAAAAATCCATGCACAACCAAACAATGACTTGAAGTAAATACTTTCTTTTCTTTTTTTCACTGCATTTTCAAATTCAATCATTGTTCTTTCGTACTTTCAATGATCACCTTTAATTGAGGCTGACTAAGGTAATCTCTTGCATAAACAAGTCTAATGACTTGAAGAAGATGGGCATAATACTCAGAGACCCGTGCCACAGATAATTTGATTAACATGTCCATTGAATGGTGTGAAGGACTTGCATAAACACAATCGATCAATCATCGTTCTTTTGTACTTTAATTGAACGTTGCTTCTCTCTCTCTCTATACCCTATAAGGCAGACAGTAGATAAAAAAGGGTAAATGATAACGCACAAACTGAGCCGCATATTACATTGCATTTGCTAACGTCCCTTACTATCACCTGATATGGAAGACAGGGTATTATCGCTTGGTTGTTGATTAGAGGGATTTGGCTATAGTTTTAATTACTATGCGGGGTTGCCACAAACAAACTGTATTCTAGGGCACTGTATCTAATCAAATACCCAGCCTCTGTCATATTCTACAATTAACAACTGAAGCATTACAAGTTATATGATCTAAACCCTATCTTCTATGCCAGGAATGTAAGGAGTTGCGTCATCTAGAAGTTCTAGGTTTGTTGAGAAAAATATGTTTAGGGAAACAGTACGAGTCGAAGATTCGGTGTTAATTGTCGCAGTGATAGACACTCCAGCAACTCCGAAAAAGTGTCCTTTCTTCTTGTGTCGGTCAACACGGTCCCCACTGCCCCGTATGTTGTTATTACATTTGTTTTCTCAGGATCAATCGAACATCTTGTTCTATATTTTCTCAGCAGGTTGTTGTTCTAAATGGCAGATGGAAGAGTTCCCTTTCCTGGTAACCTGGCATTTTCCCCAAATTATTCCTTGTTGACATGTTATGTAACAGAAGGAAACAAACTTTCCAATTCCTAGTTGGCATATTATGTAATACAGAAGGAAACATAAGCTATCCGGGCGAGTTTTTTTTTTGTGCACATTTGCAAACATCAGTAGTGTTTTTGATTTTAAGATACTGGGACAATGAATAGTAATTAAACCAACTTGACTCATCTACACTAGAAACGCTACTGACTGGATCCCCATTGTCTCTTTCTTCTTTACCTATTCAACAATTCACAATTTGATACAGTCCTATCAGTCACACAATATGTATTCTTCAACT